GAAGGGCCCTCTGTGAACAAAGGCCCTCGCCACACATTGCAAATGCGTTAGGCCTTCACAAATGTGAACGATGAATTTCTGTGATTTATAAAGTCCCCCATTCTCAGGTATGTTTGCTATGGCCACCAGAACAGCATCAGACGTTACCTACTTAAATAATTACATATTAATATCATTGTAACATTATGACAGATGTTTGAAAAGCACATACATGAAGATCCATGGTGAGAAAAACCAGGAAATTAATTTAAATGGAGCTTACCTGTCAGATTCAGAAGGTGCCATTTTTACCATCGACTTCAGTGAACTATACTGTGAAAATTCCAACTCTTTGAAAACATCAGAAAAGAAAATCTTCCCCTCTTCCTTCTATTCTTAAATTATTTTCCTGGTACTAATAAATATCATAGGCATTGCTTTCCTTCAAGTCTGTCTAGAAGAAAAGAAACGAAAGGAAGAAAAAACAAAAACAAAAAACAAAACAAAGCCACTGAAAGCCTCCTATTATACACTTATCACATCAGGCCTGGCTCCACCCCGGGCAGTCCCTGGGCAATGGTGGCTCCGCCAGCTGGTGTGGCAGCCTCTGGAGCCCCAGGTCACCTTTCCATCTGGTGGGGTTCTGTGCTTGATCTCTGGGCTTCGGCCAAGGGGAGCGGAGTGTCCCTGACTCGGGAAGCTCCTGTTGAAGGAGGCCGACACTCTGCTTCTGCTGCTGCTCCAGTCGGGAAGCAGCCTGGAGGGAGCCTGAGGAGGGAGGAGCCCTCCCTGTGCAGAGGACCAGGATCCTACAGAGGTCCTGGACATCTACAGTGACTGGCCCTCAGCCTGCAGCTCCAGGGCTGAACAGCGATTCCCCGGAAGGGCCTTCAGTGCACACAGAAGGCCTAGGGCAGGCGAGGCCCGGGGGAAGGCAGTTGAGGGAATCGTGCATTTCCTTACTGATATGAAATGCACGATGGGAAAACTGGGTCACACATGGTTTGCATGTGTCAAGGAGGACTCCTCCACTTCAGAGAGGGAGTGACTGAGTTGTAGGGTAAGTCGAGGCATCTTAGCTGCTAGGAAGTGGTCAGAGGGGGACGAGGGATAGATGCCTAAGCAGAGAGCAGCAGTCACCTCTCCCAGTAGACTGTGCGTTTCCAGGAGTCCAGAGGGGTTCCTTTGATGGACCTTTGACGGCATCCTCATCTGGGCAGGCTTAGGATGGCATGAAGAGGAAAAACAAAGCTTTTATGGAAGTTGCATACAAAGAGAAACTTAAGAGGAGACATATCAGGCAGCACTGGAGGAGAGAATGAGGAAAATCCTGGAGAAATTGCAAGGGGAAAGAGGAAAATGAAAACACACTGGATGAGACTCTACCGAGCGCAGGGACAGGCCTGAGTGTGTACATACAGGTGAGCACACAAGCTACACAGAACTGGGCGTGAGTTATATTTCTTTATAAATCCTTCGCCAAGAACAAGGTAATTGATTTCTGAAGTAATGGATGTTAGTACTGTAACCTGGACTTGAATTAATACCACTGTCTTTGGAGATTTATTTGTTTCGGTATTTTCTCATTCTGGAGAAGCCCTCAGACTCAAGGTGTGGGCCTGAGCCCTGGTGTTGTCATTGTTTTGAGAAAATTGCTAGCTATACAAATAAGCCAGAAAGGCCTCAGTATCTTAGCCCCTAGTGGTCTTAACACTTCCACAGCAGCTTTCGAAACCGAGAAGCCCACAGACACCAACCACACTCAAACCTTTACAATCCAGTGGCTTTGAAACTAGCAAATCAGTTTTTTTTTTCTTTTCTCCCACTTAGTTCCAGTGTTGTCTACGTGGAGAAGCTGCACCCAGCATCTTCAAGCCACTGACAATGTTGTTTGTGGTTTTGGGACATGACAGCTTCTCTCCCTTAGAGCTTTTGGACCATTCTCCTGAACAGCATCATTTGACCCAGGATCCCATGTCTGATGCCCCTGTCCCAGTATCTCCCTGATTGCTCACCACTCTAGATGATGGCCCCTTGCCGCGCGCCTCTCCCATGGTGCGTGCTGGGAGTCGGGGACCTCATGTGGTTCTGTTCAAGGACTCCTGATGGAGTCTGTGTTTCTGCCTCAAGTCTTCTGCCTGCCTCAGTCCCCAAGGCCTTCAAACTTCACACTGCGGCTCCCCTCCTAGTTGAAGTGACTAAGTTGGGGGGAGTAGCACTCCTTGTGCTTTGAGTTTTGCTGAGCACTGAACCTATTGACATGTACAATTAGTATGTGTTAATAAAAAGAAAGGAGTCTCAGTTAAGGTCAACTGGCACATTTTTCTTTTTATCTGAAAATTTATCAGGAAATTTCCTTGGAGTAATTGGTGGATCAGGGCCGATGCATTGCCAGCTCTCTAAGAATCCACTTGATGAAAATTAACCTCCCTCCCTATCCTTCGAATGACACTGATATGTGTGAGTGGAAGCTAGCAGCGTCTGTCGTGAGATGCTCTGTAGAAACCTCTGGCTTCCTGACACACACTGGTGTGGAGCTCAGGCTTTGATGGACCTCACCTTCTCACGTCCTTCATCAGGTCGATTCATACCTCTTCCCAGAATCCTTTAGGCCAATTGTCTGACAGCCACCTCTGGGGATAAAAAGAGAGGTTAGCAAACATTTTGATGAACTCCAAATACATTTCAAATGTTCTTGTATCTAATTCTGTACTGGAGAGTTGCAATCTGTGTTTTGAGGTAGATGATGAGACATTGTTTTAAAAAAAACAATTCATCAGAGATGCATACCCTGCTGGTAATGTCAGTGGGGAACCCAAAGAACCTTTTGGTAATTTTAAACATCTATTTCTATGTGAGTTAAATGAGATCAGGAGTCAGGAGGACAATCTACCATATATAAAGAAAAAGATGCATGTTAAATGGGGAACATGCAGTTTTTTGCGTGAATATGAGGATAAGAGCATAAACACAGGACATTTGTCTTAATTAGGTAACTTCATTGCGCTTGTTTTTACATATGCAGCACCTAAATGCCCAGGTTATTTTCTGCATCCTACTTAGCAACTGATGATAATTTTAGCATGTGGTAACTGTAAGCTATTTTCTTCCTCATCTTACTTACCCTACCGTACAGGAAGATTGTCTCAACTTTTGTAAATGCATTTAACACTGAGGTAGGTAGGCCTTGGAATCATGAGGTGTTAATGACTCACCTAATGAGATGATACATCATTAAGACCCTGAGCTATGTTTTTCCACAAAGAAACCATTTTCCGCACATGCTTTACTTTTCCCCTGGATTTGAAAAAGATATGAGCAAACAATATGCTAACAAATGCTGCAATTTATTATGTGCTAATGACATACCAGACACTGTGCAGTTGCTGCCCATATATTATCTCTAATGATGAAATATCCTGAAGAAGGCTGAATTATGCTTTCAGGTACTGAGAGTTTGAAGTTAGTGAGAAACAAATTTGATGATATGTATGGCATCCAAGTATGTGTCTTCTCAACTGCTTGTCTCTGTGACTTGTCATCCGCAATTTGCACTCTGATGGGGTAGCTGGAGACCTGGGTGTGAAGCCTGAGTGCAGAACACCCTCAGTGCACCACGAAGGTGTACACTTCACCCCGAGAACTTCTTAGTAATGTGGAAAGCACAAAGAAACGCACTGCACTGAGTTTGTTCCCACTACATATTTTTGTTCTTTCTTTAAAAAATATAGATGTATAATATAAATAAAGAAAATGGGAGTAGTTATTTTACTTAGGAAAAGTTCGAGTAATACCTGAAATCTGGCACATGGTTTACTTGAGTATATTGGATGCCTTTTAACATGTCTGACTTTCATATGCAAAATAGCATTTTCTCATCCCCTTAGATGTTCAGTATCTCCCAGAATTGTAGTTTTGACCTTAAACTCTTGAAATGATTTGGTACTTGTATTTAAATAGTATGTTCTGACCAATAATAAAAAATCAAATTTAATAATTGCATTTAAAAATTATCATAATTTACACCTACATGTGTAAATCATCAATTTTAAAGAGAACTGTTATGACTCAATTATAAATCAAGGTATCCACTTTTACTTAATACATTATACATTGAGTTTTGGTTTTTATTCTGAGTGACCACAAAAAAATTCATGAAAAAATAGTATCTAATTCAGTGCTACTCTTGAATATATACTCTTGTCATCACTTGGAATTTTCTACCACTTAATTTAAAAGTGTAGAGTTTATTGATAAGAAAAGTTTTCTCATCCATTGACTTTGACATGTGGTTTTATTGTGTTTATTTATTGCACAGAAGTATTGATATGTAACTATTGTCTTATCGTACTTGTCACTTTAAGTCAGAAACTTTGTTATTTAACAAACTCCTTTTGCCTCAATAACAGAATTAAAACTGTAGCCAGTGTAATATTTTTGTTTTTGCACGTCAAACTTCAATAAAGCACACTTATGATGACGTTCTCATACTTGGTATAAAATAGAAGATGCTAAAAGTATTTCATTTGAGACACTCATTAGTCAATTGTTAAACACAATATCATTCAGATATTAGAAAAAGTTGATGAATTAGATGAGAAAGGTGAGAAAAGAGGATATAATTGACTGCTAACCACTCCAGATATGTGAGAAAAGACGTGGGCATGCTTTTTTTAGTGGATTCAAGAAAGCAGTGGGGGGCGGGGGTAGAAGCTAAAGAGACAACAAAGTCATCCTCAGAGCAGGGACATGAAGGAAGGAGGCCACTTACACCATTGCACTAAAACTTCCTTGGGGTCTCAACATTTTTGCTAATCTACCATGCAGAACGTGGGTGGGTAAAGAGTGGACGGGGAGATGTTTCAGCTTGGTTCTTTCTGTTGCTGTGCATTTTACTGCAGCCTATGGTGAGAGAAAGATCAGTGGGAATCACACTGAAAATTCTCCTCGTTTGCAATGCTCTATAAAAAGCAAGCCTATGATGTAAGGCCCTTCCCTTAATCAAAATGCAGAGAGCTTTGCTTGCTGCCAGAGGGACTAGAATACATGGCTATGGCAGAGTCTTTATGCTTGTAAGATGAAACAAATGCAAGGGTGAAAGTTAAATAGAATCCCAAGCAGGTGTGTGACTGAGCTGAGAGGCAGGCAGGGCAACCGGGCCTCAGAGAGAGGTCAGAGTGACCCAGACAGCTTCGCCAAACTTCACCAAACAGGACTCTTTTTTTTCTGTCTTCTCAAGTTAGATCATCAGTGTTTTAGAGGAGAGAGAGGTGGGGTCAGAGGGACTATCTAAAACCTGGAAAAAGTAACAGTAAAATATTTTAATGGTTTTATAAGATTATTTGATTTTCTTCTCTTTAGGGAAGAGTAGTGAACTTTTCCTGCAAAGTCTGAGCTTAACGCTGATACTTTAAAAGACAGGAGACAAAATGAAGAAAAAAAATGCAAAACAAACAGTGTCCACTGGAAGAAGAATGTGCTGGAAAGACAGCAGCACCCGACTTCCCCAGCTCCTCTCATCCCGCCATCTTTACACTTCTTCTCGGTGGGACTGTTGGAGAATGGGTGGCCTCCTGAGGAGCAGGAGGGAAAGGAGATCCAGGAGTCCTTCCCAAGACTGATCCAGACCCCAGCCTTCCTTCGTCTTTTAAGGTCCACCATTGCATGTGAGTAGTGAATTTTTTACAGTAATTATGTCCCTTGTAAGACATTCAAGGAGAAAGCAAAGTATGTGTAAATCTCCACACTACAAAGAAAAAAATTAAACTAAGAAAAAAAATAGTCCTTTTCTTCTTGCCTTTCTTTTCTGCCACATCATTTTGCTGTGTCCTGGGCATCTCTTCTGTCAGTCTTCTAAATACACACATTACTTAGGAAATTAGATCACAATTACGCTCACGTGTCTTTCAAACACTATGTGAGTCTTCAACAAGATACCTGCCTTATGGGGCAATTATCTATAAACATTTGTCATTGTACAGTTGAGGACATAGTGGGCATTCAGGCTCCATTTGCAGGCTCCCTGTAGGAGGAAGAACATGCAATTGTGCTGTCAGCTTTTCAGAGTTTTACAAAACAGCAATTTTTAGATCAAAAGGATTAAGATGTGAGATAAATGGGTAATTCCAAATGCATGGGGAAAATCCTAGTTGGTATTTTTGTTACCGTGACACACTATACAACAAAATGAAACTAGGTTTTGGTGAGGAAGCATAATTGATACCAGCAGGAAAGAGTGTAAAATGAATTAGAAAAAATACCAGCTTTTTGCTTTTAAGCATATTATATTAAAAAATGAAAAAAAGTTCTTTCTTTTCTCTTCTACTAGTAGTAATTTTGAGAAATTATTTTCAAATCTTTTTCTTTATACAACAGTTGTTCCTCGGGGGAAATTTTTTTCCCTGTGTTTATGCACTTCAGTGTTTGAATTAGTATCTCAATACAAATTTGTACAACAGTATTTATTATCACAGTTACAAACAAGCTTAAAATATTTTTTATTTGAAAATTTAACTTTTAATATGGCAAGAGATTAAGAGATTTGAAAACTTTCATAAAACTTAACTTAAGCCAAGATATAATAAGACAAATAAACCAAATGTAAGGATTTTTGTTTGTTTGGGTTTTTTGTTTTTGTTTGTTTTAATGCATCTTAAGTTGAAGGTATAGTGTTTTCATTTAAAATCAGAAAAAGAGAGAGATTTGATATGGACTACTAAGGGATTCCAGGGCCTCCTCACCTTAAATTGTGTGTTTCAGAAGAATTCATAAAACCTTACTGCTTTTCAGCTGAAAATAAACATATATCAGGTACACCTAAAATTACAAAAATGATCTTTGTGATATTTTTTGGCAAAATATTTCCATAGTAAACCTTCCATGTCCAGGACTGAAGTGTAACTAAGGTGAAGTTGGTCCTGGGGCTGCCCTTGCTATTAGGTGGGCAAAGTGTCCAATGATCGTGTTCTCAGGGAGTGAAGTGGTGTAGATGCTGGAATTAGGAGGAACTGTGAGCAGCTTGTTTGTTCAGCTCTGGGTGAGAAACACTAACGTGAACTATGTCTTTAGTCTCAGACTATACAAATTCATGGGTGGCATGTGAAAGCGGTTAATGGTCTCTCTAGTTTGCACATTGCCACACAATTTTCTCTATTTTTTCTTACACTTTGGAAGGTACAGATTATCATGCAAATTTAAAATCATCTTAAATAAGTTGCACTAGCATATATGGAAATCGTACAGCATTCGAAGGTCAGATTTGTTACTCCAAGCACTTGATTTGCCACATGCTGCTTTTCCTAGTTTGAACAATGATGTTTACGTCTCTAAGCCTAATACAAAAATTAAAACAGTATCCCCTGCACAAGATGAAGTGGCAAAATAAAAACAAACAAAATTTATAATTCACCCAAAGCAATGACTTCATGCACAGAAGCATCATATAAACACTGGCTGCTAGTTTCTGGACAGAGAAGGAGAAACACCTGTGGTTGGTGGCAGCCCATGCTGGCGGGCTCCCACTCTGCCCTTCTCCTAGCTCTATCTCCATCCGTTTCCACTCCATCACGGCTTGGTGCTTTTTGACGCTGCACCGCTTGAAATTAATCTTGAAACCCTCAAAATCCCTATTGTCACTCCAATTTCTAGTTCTTTGTTCTCTGCATGGTGTGAAGCTCCGAAGTGGACAGTGGTCTAGGGTCAGCCCGGTTCGGTGGATCCCCATAACCTGCCCCTACTCCTCCTGTGAACGCTATCACACCTCCTTTCTTCAGCTTCTATCTGGCCAGTCATCAGCCCTGGGTGACAGGACTCTCTGTTTTCTCTGCTCCTGTGAATTTTTTTTTTTCTTGAATATAACAAGAGGAGCAACTCCTACTGGAAGGAAGCATGAGAGTGGTGTATCTTCTGGCTTCATCGTCCCAACCTCTTCCAGGAGTCACGGCTTGTTTCCCCTGGAAGCTCGGTTCTGAATTTATCTGTTCATTTTTCCCCCTAGTTCACTGTCACCCTCTTTCTTTGGCTCTTGTTGCCTACCAACTTGTCCCTGGCCTTAAAAATGATCCTTGAAACCCTTATCTCATTGTACCCTGTACCTTTTGATAATTCTTTTCTGTACCTTCCCCCTGATATTGTGCTCAACACACACACACACACTCACACACACACACACAGAGAGAGAGAGAGAGAGAGAGAGAGAGAGAGAGAGACGGAGACAGAGACAGACAGACAGACAGACAGACAGACAGACAGACCTTGGAGTTAATGGCAGATTCTCTAGAATTTATCCCTCCTCTGGTTGAGACATATTTTCAGTACACACAGACATGCATTGCTGTCCAGGGACTTGACACTAACTGGATCACTCCTGGTCACATCTACAGGGCACCACACTCTCCTGGCTTGTCAACACTTTTGGAGCCTGGAGAGAAGGGATCAAGGACACTATCCTGAGGTCGATACAACTGTCAAGGATTTAAGGCCTCCACTACTCAAAAGCCTGTGTGCCACAGAGGCTGGCTGGACACAGACTTTGGGTTTAATGGTTTTTGAGTGAAAATCCCAGGTCTGCTGCTTCATGGCACTCAGATTTCAGGTGGTATTTATAACTTCCCTGGCTGTGACTGACAGCTGTCCCTACTGGTGAGGCTGTCCCATGAGTGGCCCTGAAGAAGCCCAGGTGCTCTCTGTTCAGGTGCTAGAGGAGGGCTTCACCTAGGAGAGGTCTCCCTACACAGTGATATTCCCAGATGAAATGGAAGGGAGACTACTCTTTACTGGAAACTATCTGTAATGTAAAATTCATGAGTACGTATTTTATAGAGGCAAGAATAAAAGCCACGGGTTATTGATCCTCAACTATTTTGAAGACATTTTTTTTCCAGATTTTAAATTGTATATCTTTCACAGAAAATTCGTAAATACAGATAAGCTCTTAAGAGAAATATATCTACCTGCAATCCCTACACGTAGTTTTTTAACATTTTGGTAAATGTTGTTTCCAGATTTTTTCACCATTACAATAAAATAATTAAAATAATCATAATGAGATACTGATTGTGTGATATTATCAGTTATCAGATAGAGTCTCTAGCCCACTCCTGAGGCTATGCTTTTTATATTATCAACTCATGTTTTTGTCTCAGCAACTCCATTAACTTGATAATATCATCTTTATTTTATGAATAAACTGAACTCAGAGAGTTTAACTTGCCCAAGTCCCCCTGGGCAGTAGGATACAGGACTGGGCTTCCTCTGAGGGCCCACTGATTCTGCAGGTTGGTCATGTCTCTTGAGATATGTCTTTTACAAAGCTGGAATCATTCAGATTTTCTCCAGATGTGCCAAACACAGAAAATCTAATCCTTATGAAGGACTATTGGAGGCGCTCTACATGGTTAAGATATTTGTCATACCATTTTATTCTTGCTTATTGTGATAATATAAGGGAATACATTTCACTGAATGGGCCACTCCAGAAATTATACACTCTGTAATGTAGGCGAATGAATATGGAGGAAAAATGTGTATGTGTGTGTGCGTGTGTGTGTGTGTGTGCGTGTGTGTGATTCCATGATTACAGTTTTAATGCTTATAATATGTTCAATGTTTAAAGAAATTTATTTCATTCTTATGCAAGAGAATAAGACATAATTATATAAGGGCTAACAATAACAATTTGTTAGGAGGGAACAAATCTGTCGATTCTCAAACTTATCACTCACACAGAAAAACTCCACGACTCTGGGTGGTTTCACTGTCTTGTTGAAGCTGGTAGCAGACAACTTTCCCATTTAAAAAAATCTTTTATTTTGCAAATGGTGCTTTTAAATTCTTTGCATGTTATAGAATGTCATCAGAGAGAGCCTCTGTAATTGTTTTAATATCTTGATGATAACACTACCTGAAGTGTTGGTCAGTCTCAGTGTAGGATCTGGGCTAGCAGGGCGGCCTATATGATTATTTTGGAAATAAGTTGTGAATGAGGGAGATATTGAAAAAAGGAGAATAATGGAGGTAGTGTTGATTGACAGATCATTTCTTAAGTTATTAGGATAGTGTTATCGTATTTTGGGGAAGAGAATTTCATAAACTCAGAGCAGAGTGTTGATGTTTATAAATTCTTTTCTTGATTTCTTATGAAATCTTATGAATCCCGTATACTGCTTCCATGACTACCATTTTTATACATATTTGATTACTTTATATTGTAATTTACAACTCAAATGTGCACAATCCAACAGCAGGAGCTCAGTTAGAATTTAGCGGGTTTATAGCTTTGTTTGGCCCTCGGCACAAGTAATAAAATCCTAGCTTTAAGTACCATTGGGGTTTATAGAATGAAGACATCTGCATTATTATATTAAAATGTTCCTCTGTGTAATAAATATAACTGACAGTAGTGCATGACTTACTTTATGAAAAATATGTTGATAGCAATATAGTCTTAAATACTGAAAAAACTGCCGATTAAAATTTTATGGGCCTAGTTACCATTTAAATGCTCAACAGATGTCCATAATAACAGTCTATTACTGGATATTCCTAATAAAAGTTTTAGTTAAAATTATTTTTAAAATACCCATGAAAACACTGTATTAACCTCCCATTTATTGTAGCAGTGTTTGTATTTATTATTCTAGTGTGTTCTTTGAGGATAACGTGGAGG